ACACACACACACACACACACACACACACACACACACACACACACTCAATCAAAACTGATTTAACACTGTACTATTAGTGACCTAATTTGCAGACATACATATAAACAGTAATGGCTTATAAAATTATAATCTCGGATTGACATTAAAAATAAGATTTTTTTTCTATTTACGACATCAAATAATGCCTTGGGAAGCTTTTCTAAAACACACCATGCTTCCATTATACTCCAATAGACTCAGACAAAACACAGTAAACTCCTAATTGCTGGCTTCTTTATTAAAGCATTAATTAAGAACCCTTCACCTATAATATTTTAATAGAAGCCACAGAAAAGATGCTTTCTTATAACTATGTGCAACTGTAACAAAACAGTTACTTAAGTAAGAGAAAATACAGAAACAGTATAATGACCTTGGTCACAGCTGAGGAGGGGGATGAGACACAAAAGGAAAGAAAACTGTCTATTTCTTTGAAGTTTAAAATAAACAAAGCTCACTCCCAAAACAACATTCATGTATACACTCAAATGCATACATATGAATATGTATGATCCTGGTTGGTACAGGCGTATCACTAGCTATCATCATCAACGAAGTGGCCTCTATTACTCGGGTACTTCTTTTTTGAAAATTGTGTGTATGTGTGTCTGTGCAGTTCCCTGCAGAGGCCACTGGGGGACACTGAATCACCTAGAGTAAGAATTGGGGTTGTTGTGAGCCACCTGAGGGGGGTGCTGGAAACCAAACTCAGGTCCTCTGTAACAGCAGGAAAGGCTCTCTTACCTTCAGAGCCATCTCTCCAGCCCCCTCACCTACTTCTCTCATGGCACGTGAAGAGGCTTCACGGAAGGCCTTCTTTACTGCTTCAGAATTGGCTAGCAGTTTGAAACATTTAAAGTAAGCATGCACAGCTCAGGAAGTTTAGCAATGCCTCATACAAATGTGACTGGCTCCTTCCCAAAGGAAGGGCACAGCTTGGAGAGACTCCATTCACACATCAGTTTAGCAGCTTTATGTATATCACAATGTCAGACAGAGCAGTAATTAGATGAGCACATACTGTCTGAGAGACCCTGAGCAAGTCCATCCACTCACTGAACCTCATCTTCCTGGTATGGGTGTGGTGCTCTCATGCTGGGGAACAAATGAGTTAACATGCTGGTGTTGTCCAGTATTGGCTACAGAAATTGCTACCAAAATGGCAAAGCTTGTCACATCCTGAGCAAATAACAAAACAATGTTCTGGATTTCAAGGTTACTTTTAACCACACGTCCGTCCCCCCCCAAAAAAAAATGGCTGACTGGAAGAAATCTGTGAAAGCAGGAGACTACTAATTCCAACAAGCAAGAGAGGGGAAGCAAGCTAATGTGCTGAAAAGCCATTTGTCACAACGAATCCTGGCAAGGATGCAGAAGCATGCCGGAGAACCAGACTTTTGAATCCTAGAAGCACACTTGAGCCAGCTGGAGAGTTTGGCAATCACGGGGCCCTGGACCCCTCTCCATAGTGGGTGCCTCTTCCCCTCCAGGTTGACTTATCAAGTCTAGGGTGTGTTTGATTATCCTTACTGTTTTGTTTTTAAAGAAGTCAGTTCTCTAATGTATAGTCAGTGTGAGGAACACCCGAGAAACAGTATGAAAGAGACGGAAAAAGGAGGATGTCGGAGAAACAAGCAAAATGTCAGGCAGAGTACTTGTGTTTCAAGAATCACACTGATTTTCCATTTTCTGAATTCCTAATGCTGCAGGACGGGCTCTGCAGCCGGCTCTCTCTTTGGGCCACCAACCAGCTCCCAAATAAAGACATGCAGACTTACTACTAATAAATGCTCAGTCTTTAGCTTATGCTTGTCCCACCAGCCCTTATAACTTAACTTGTTTTTATTCATCTACATTTTGCCTCAGGTATGCCCTGCTTTTCTGCCTCCTCCATGTCTGGCTGACTGTGTCTCTGTGGCAGGCTGGCCAGCTCCCTTTTTCT